TACAGCTGTCAGTGTAAAGAAGGCTACGGACAAACAGATGGAATCAATTGTCTTGGTAATGAAACCAAAAAGATGTCCAAAGCTTTCTCTAAACAATTGTGACTGAGATTAGGGTACCGTAGGATAAATTTATCCTTCTTAAAAACGATGACTATACTAGAAAATATATCGACAGAAAAATGAACAAAACTAAAGCAGAGTTACAGAATGACTTGGACCTTGGCAAGCAGGTTTTTTAAGAGAGGGTCGGGGCCCGAAGGGAGGAAAGGTAAAAAATTTGTGTCCTTGTGGAATTTAGGCGCGTACTGTAAAAACAAATAATGCTTTTCTCAACCAGGGAAGAGGGGATGAGGAGGCAGAAAATCATTTGCTGCTTACGATACTCCTCGAGAGCATTGATAGGGTCAAGAGATTGTAAACAGTTTATAACCTCTTGTAGCGTCGATGAGAGACAACGATCTCAACTGTATAACAAAACATTTTTAATTGTAGAATTATGCATAAATCAAATTTTATCTATTCATTGAATACAAACCCATTTGCAAAATTGCCAAAGCGCCATCCATAGCCCTAATTCGTATTTTAATCCTTGGAAATATAGCTCTTATAATTCTCGTCCTACTTAGCGAGCCAATGTGATGGTTTGGAGGCACTTGGAATGGAGAATGGTACAATTACAAACGCTTCCATTACTGCAAGTTCGTACTACCCTCAATATCCTCCTTGGAGCGCACGGCTGAGAGCTGGGACCGAGAAAGGTTGGTACGCCCTGCCCAACGATCTTTCACCTTGGATCCAGGTGGATCTTGGGAAGCCAAGATGGCTGAAAGGTTTGGCGACCCAAGGAAAGAGGTTTACAGTATTTGTGAAGACATATAAGGTGGCATATTCACTGGATGCGGTCAGCTGGCGTATCTACCATGGCAATGGGACAAGAGACAAGGTATCGTTATCAGGAGTAATGGGCTCTTGTCGTTATTCATCATCGCCGATCATAGTTCCTGATACCTTGAGTTTGATTTGTTATAACAAAGTGCAGTGAGAGACTTTACTGAGATAAGAAGAAAGGTAGAAATTTTCCTCCTCTGTCTTAGTGACCCGTCAGCATTTGTCGACTGCGGGGGAAAGGGGGGGTCGGAATAAAATTCACCTGATCCTCCCTAAGGATCCGCAGAATTCCTATGATCCCCTTTTAGGCCTTCACTGACAGACAGTTTTTCTACTATTCCCCTCCCCCCTCGCTCCGGGTCCCTTCCTTTATACTTTGTTGGCGACGACTGATCACCCACCTCCGCTCCCCTTATGATCCCTTCAAAAATCCATCCAGTCCCCAACCTCACCCAGGCGAAAAATAATCACTTGTCCCTGGGAGCCTTTTATCTAATGAACTTATTATTCATAACTGCATTTTTCCTTTCAGGTCTTCTATGGTAACACAGATCCCTATACAGTGGTCACCAACATCCTCGTCAAACCGGTTTACACTCGTTTCGTGCGGGTTTATCCTCTTTCATGGAACGACGCTATAGTTCTTAAGTTAGAGTTTTATGGCTGTTTGACCACCAAGATTCCTTCCACGTATAAAAGTCTTGGACAACCATCAGAGCGTCTTTGAAATCCTGTTGAAATATGATGAATGGCTTAGTTTATGATGTTGATTAAAAATAGTTTTTCGAACTCAAACGCAGCGATATACGTGGGTGTGTATACGATGAAAATACTAGCAAATCTGTAGAGAAATGCATTCTGAAACACATACAGACGAGACGATGGGACTAAGGCGATATGATCGCAATTACTGGGTTGAAGAAGCTACAAAAAAATGAAGGATGTGTTGGTGAATATTAATTAGAGGAATATTAGTTAGACCGGAATCAAACTTGTCGCGTGTTATAGACTAGACTATAATTAAGATTCAGACTATATTTAAGATAATTGCCAAATTTGGTTGAGGTAGAGTCGCACACCTTAATTAATGCAGCTTTTAGACTTCAAATTCTGAAATAGCTTACGCTAAAACTAATTTTAAAGAGAAATGTCTCCTTCATTTCAGCTATGTCATTAGATAAGTGTTTCACAAATCTCCACCCAAATCAAAGGTGCGAAGACCTATTACTGCGGCTCATGCGAAACTTCAGTTGAATCGAGAGGTGATCATATTCCTTTGTGATTGGAATACCAAGTACATCCGGAACAGTAATTCATATGTTTAGCTATCGTAGAGCAGAAGAGTATTCTTTTTTCTGTTTTGCAGTCCTGTACAATTTGTTATCGCAGGTGCCTGTGTGTTGTTTCCACAAAAAAAAAGAGACAAATTCAAAGAAAGAAGGAAAAGGGGACTCAAAACATAAAAAAAAATTTATGTTATTTTTCATAGCTTTTCATATTTCACTACCGCTCGATTTTTCTTTATTATCGTCCGTGCTATTGTTTGAGTTGAACCATAAATTTTTACCTCGGTAATTTTCCCCGCCAGCACGCAATTAGATTGTTTTGAGTTATATGAGTAGGACTCTTTAACTTGTGCTCTAAATGACACAAACAAACTGGTTTAGTTAATTAACTCTCGGTTTTATTTGTGCAATGTGGCTGGTGGTCCATTCACATGAAAAAAGTTAATTGCCCAAATGTCATCGCTCGCTCGAAAGTTTAAATAGTTAAATTAATAACAACGCGTGGACACTTTGCTTAAATAACCACTTAAAACTCTCACACGAAAAGATATCCATAAGCTTTTGCGAGAAGCCGTCAGGACTTTCAGAAAGGTAGGTTTATGGACGATAATTTTTTCATCCCTCGGAGTAAGGCTTTGTCTAAATGTAACCAAAAAGGATTTCAGAAATGATCACATATTTATTTCTCTCAAATTTATTAAAAATAAAAAAAGATCCTTGGGCCCATTGACGAAGACACAAAGAAAACGTGTTCATTTTTCAAGGTCGTTCAATCTTTGTAGGAGTTAAGGAAGAAAATTTTTGCGAACGGTGAAGGAATAGCATTTCAAAAAATGCTATTTATACTGTGTGTTTCGGGGGATCTTTAATTCGTTGTTTCAATATGAGAGAAAAACGAGAAAGAGAAAAGAAAAATGATGAACGCCAAAGGTTTGCCAGTCTCATAACATGAGCAAGATAATGGAGTTGTTCAAGAATGTCGCAAATTTTTTAAGGAACTTTTAAATAAATTCTTACCTAAGAAGGGAAAACTATACTAAGTTAAACAATCTAACAATAAACTTAAACAAGGACCATGCGGAAAAGAATATGACGCGGATTGAACATGAAAACTTGAAAATTTAATTTCAGGATTATTTTTCCAGGATGGATTAATTGTGATGCAGCTCTAGCAACCCTCTTACTTGTTTCTGCCCTGGTTCATGCAGTAATACTTTGATGCTTTGGAATGATATCAAATTCCCACGATGAAAGCATGCGTCAAAAGGCCTACATTTTGGCTTATCTATCAAGAAGTAACCATCCTAAAAGACCTTGAAGAGTTCACTTTTATATGATTATAAAAGTGACTCTGCAACGTCGTTACAAAAACGACAAATATTCGGATGTATATGAAAACCACTTTCCACGTTTGGGGTTTGCTTGCATGTTCTGCAGGTTGAAGTATGCGTTTGCTTTTTTTCGGACGCAGTCGATATGTACATGGATAAACTTGATTTGAACGCCAACTTTAACACCTTTACAAAGCTGAAATACCTTTTAGGCCGGATGTTGTTGACTTTGTTTGGTTTTTACCTGCCTCTTGTTCTTCTTCCATATTCATCTTGAAAGAAGTGCAAGTGGTAGAGAAATACCAAACTGAAAAGCATTAATAAAGGGGTAGGTTTGTGAAGAAACTGTGGTGCTGCATCGGTGGGAGAGTACAACGGGGTGATTTAGTATTATCAACTGAACTGATAGCGTAAATTGGCCTCCGTAAAGAGTTTAAAAGCTGACGTTTCGAGCGTTAGCCCTTCGTCAGAGCGATTGGAGAAATTCTGGATTGTGGGTGGGTTTATATTTAGAAAATGGAGCCATGCTATTGGCGGGAATATGATGACGAGAAAACAAGGATAAATTTGTGGAGAGGAAAGCGCTCGTTGATACCGTGGGGATTAAGAGTGCCGATTTGAAAGATAAATTTTTGTTCTTGAGTTTTGCGGCTTTCCGAACAACCTAGACGTAGGGAAAGGCCGCAAACTGCCATATGTGCTGCTGAGAATGATTAGGGAGATTCAAGTGTCTAATGAACGGTTTGAATGCGTCCTTGATATTTCTTTCTACGTCACAATGGTGTTCTCGGAATCGGTCACCTAGTCGTCTTCCTTTTTTACCAATGTATAACTTTTTGCCATAAGTGCAAGTTATGCATTAGATGACATTGGCGGAGGTACACGTGAAATGATCAGTGATCTTAATGGATCTCTTGGGTCCCAATTTACTATTAACTCTTAATAAAACTAAATAACCCTGAAAAACATTAATGCGGAATCAGAGGAGAAAGGAAAATTCTCGTCAATTTTACCTCCGTAAATCTCTAATGCCTCTTTTCCCGACAGGGCCAAAAAGCCCGTTTCTGGAAGTTTCAGTTAACTGAACGCGCTCCTAAAGCTGTCCTGTTTTCATTCAAGCTGTAAGGTTAAAAGGTTTTGAAAACTATACAATGAATTATCGGCTAAGAAACAAAATGGACTGGTTAGGGCGCCCAGAACGTGCTTCTCTATTGGAAAAATTTTGATTTAAAAATATAGCATCGGGACATTCAAGAAACGGGCCTCAGGCGACATAATTGTTGACCCCACTAACGCAGTTTGTCTAATTCACATTTTAATTTAGTATTCGTATAACTTCTCATATCAAATATGGAATAAAAAATTAAGTAGGTGACGGAAATGTATGACTAAGTCCAAATGACACTCCTGACATCATGTTACGAATGTCTCAAGCGAGATCATTTTTAAATTTCTACTTCACCTAGAAATTAAGTTTATTTATAAACGCGCACAAATTGTCTCTCCAAATATGGCAAAAAAATCGAACCACATTGCTAATCACGTAAAAAATTTATGAAAACGCGGAAGTTTCTTAACTTACCGGACGTCAAACATTTTTTTTTCAATTTTATGTTTTGCTGTTACCATGCGAGTTGAGTAGAAAGGGATTTTTAGCGTGATGTTACCATGCGAGTTGAGTAGAAAGAGATTTTAGCGTGATGTGGCTAAGTTAATAAAGACCACCTTCTATAAAAACGATGGTAATTGAGTCTGATTACAGAGAAGATAGCAAAAACTGCCGCTTCCGTTCTGTAGCTGATGGTTTTCTTATCTCAGTCAAAACGAAAAATTTAATATATGGCGTGGTAGATTGCTTCATCGGTAATTTAACCTCACCCTGAGCTATATTATAGATCATTCTTTATAGGTCTGGGCTCTGTCAGTGAAGCGTTTGCTGTTTCATTTCTTTTTTTCGAATTCAAAGGTTGAAGACTAAATTTTCCAAAATTTACATCGCCAAAATTTGTAAACAAAAAACCGAAATGCAAAAGGTAAAAATAAAAACCAGATACCGAGGATGACAGAATTTTAATAACAAATTCGCTAATTTCGCAGTCTCGATTTCCCCAAAGTTCTTTCACAGTTCCCGTTTAATTTGTTTACTTGTTGAAAAACTCTCTTTGCGTTCGCGTGTGAATTAAAAAAGAAAATAGACCTAAAACTTGAAGGCTCTTTGTACTAGCAATTAAGCTGTCTTAAGGTTCCTGATTGGATTTCCTCGGAAGAGATGAGTGTAAGAATTTTAATGAAAAACAGTTGGAAAAATACGATTAAGTCAATGAGTTGATGCTTTGCCTTGGTTTAAAGTACTGGTTGTGTGCAACACACTGATGACATTTCGGCGACGAAAACACATTCGAAGCGAGCGGTTGAACTTCGGAATTCTCCAAGCATACATGAAGGGATCCACTATGGAGCTGACGGAGAGAAATTCGTTTGCCACATAATGATAAACTCTGTATGCGTAAGAGGTGCGGCAAGAGCAAAAATATAGAATCTGTATGTTGATAAAGTAGGGCAAAAATGACAAATAAAATATCAAAAGGATCGCTATAAATGCCATGACCATTCTGTTCTCTCTCTCTAACTGCTGCCTTCTACCTGCAGCTGTTAGACTAGCGCGCACATTTTTAAGTTCTTCTCTTTGTAGGGAAATCGCCTTGTATATTTTCACATAGATTGTTGTTAAGAGGAAAGATGGGATCACGAAATGAGAGTAACAATAGGCAAGCAAAAACTTTTCTCTCCTTACATCCGAAACTGGAAGTACGGAGAAAACTAGCGCACTTGTCCAAATCGCAAAGATGAAGATCTTCGCTTTTGTGTTCGTCACTTTCAGTGGATATTCAAACGGCTTAATCACTGCAACATACCGATCGTAAGACATCGCCAAAAGCGTCGACACTGCGGCGAGAATCGACACAGCTCCAATGAAATATTGAGTGATGTTGACGATTAAAAGCTCTCCCCAGCCATGGTAGCTATAGGTAAGTTCGATACCTCTCAGAAAGCTGACAAATCCCATAAAAAAATCGGCAACGGAGAGATTTGCAATAAGAAAAACGTTGGGCGTGCGTAAACATCGACAGGGATCGCGGTAAATCGTGATAAAGAGAAAGCTGTTTGCCATCATGATGATCGCTGCAAATACGAAGTCAATGATTATAAAGCCAAGAAGAAGTACACCCTGAACTGACTCTTTGCTACCATTTGATGAAGTTGTCAAGTTCATCATTGACTCTTTAGCCGCGTTGAAGCTCAACTCAAATCTTTTCGGTTTAATCTGAAATCACATATCCAGTATTTTCTTTTCGTTCTGGAACTTGGTGATATCTTAGTGTTTCCTCAGCTGTTTGTTGCTACGTCGTGAGATCTTTGTTAATCATTTCTCTCTGTCACGTTCTAACTTCTAGAAGCGATCTTTGACGCAGGGTCTAATCAATCTAAATGATAATTTTGTTTTGGAACTTACCAGGTAGGAAATCAATGTTAATGAGTTGATTAAAACTCATCCAATTCTACGGCACTTGATGACTTAAGTAAACTATAAAAGGCATTGAACTAATTGTCTCTATCTAATTGAGGCTGCGTGGCAGCCACGAGCAGCAATTAATAATCGCAAATTTTTGACCTTATCCTAACGGCTTGAAAATGACATGTTCTTGAAACCCTTTGTTATAAATATTGATGGTACGTGACAAAGTTAAATTAAACCGTGGGAAACTGATCATCTGTGTGTCTATAAGACAAGAGAAGCATTGGTTTTAATCATTCTTCTCGATGTACCGAGAAAAAAAAAGGGAGAAGGGAAAAGGAAAAGAAGAAAATAAAATGAAAAAAAAAGAGACACAAAAGACCTTTTTGAGGATAGATTTCCGCAGGAAAACGCAAGTGATTAAATTGCGATCGGATTCAGTTACACATTTGATTGGTTGAAAGGGAAGCACATTATTTCTGAACCAATCAAAGAGCAATGCAAAACAAAACTAATGCAATCACGGACTTCTTTAGACACTAAAGTAGAATTGTCTCTGCGTTGAAGTTTGCCTAATGGTAGCATCACACGGATGTTATCAGAGAGTGTCTCACTGATTATTTACCCAAAGTTTTCAAATTTTGCCCAGGCTTAAATTAAGGACATGCTCAATCTTCGCTCCATTTCTGGCCAGTACTTGCTAACCAGAAATAGAGTGTCGGCATTTTCAAAAAAGGTTTTCCAAATGGATAGGGGATCTCGTTACCCTGACAAACTCCGTAGGATTCTTCATTTTGCAACGCATTGCGCGGTGAGTGAAACAGTGGAAAAATGATGGACATCCCTGCGTTAGCCAGAGACTTGGCAACTTTGATCGCGGGTGCAACGAACAGGAATCGCCAAGAAGTCGTTGCCAGTTTACTTCAATGTTCTGCGGGGAGTCTGGGTCGGCGTGGTTTGTATACTTGGGGAGGATAGCCCTCATTAGTCTCTCATTCTCACCATTTTGGAAAAAGATGGATTCATCTACAGCCCGCTGGATCAGAGGGTGGTCAATTTGTTGACCAGCTGCTTTGAAATGCAATCTCCACAGCGCCACAGAACCGCAGTTTTTGTTGACACCAACGATCGCCTTAACTTTTTGGAATCTACCTTCGTCGAGCAGTAATGAGGTTTCTTCCGGAAGAAAGTGCCCGTCGACTGTAATAATCGCAGATCTCCACGTAGATGTAGATTAACATGTAGATCTCCTAATCTACATGCTGCTTTTATTTCAAAGCTTTAAAATCTAAAGCTTTGTTATTAGAGTGAAAACGTTTTTTTTTATTTTGTTTCCAACAGAGACCCCAACAGACGAGATCCCCACTTACCTCCGCTGACCGCCAGCAACATAACCTGGCCTCTATTTACGACCGAGAGCGAAAGATACTTGGTAATAGACCTGGAGACTAGCTTAAAGAGCCAGCTAGGAAGAATTTTTGCCCAGCTTAGCAAAGCCTGGTGGAGAATTCTGATAAAAACGAGCCAAATTGTAACGGAAGGGGAAAGGCTGCAAAAAGATAATTTAAACATGACGATCGCAATAAGACTCGTACTTGGCCGTCATATATCGAATCCGGTCCTTATGGCAGGAATGTGGGCTCATTTCCCGGATAGCGGCTGTTATTGAGCCTGGGTGGTTATATTCCGCTCGGACATTTTCATGAATAAATATCTATAAATTTACTTTCACTTTTTGTGATCTATGATGATTTCATTAAGCCATTGTACCCAAATAGTAATCTCATAACCAGATCCTACCGTTTAACTGTTACAGAAATGTTCCCACCGCTTGGCCGTGGAAGGTCTGAATATGAGACTGCATAAATAGTACCTAAATAAAGCTAAATATAACACACTTTAATTATGATATTTGTAAGAAATTAACTAAGAAATCACACAAAGAAAAAAAGTTATTTGTACTATAAAAGTTTTTGAAGATTAATCTACGTTTACATACATTAGTGCAAAAACTTACTGACACCTGGAAAAACACTCTCCCATCTCAAATCATTTTAGTGCTGCAGAGCGCTAGACCTTTTACTCAACTCTAGTTATCGTTCACACTAAGACGGTCGCAATAGTGTTGGCACTGAAAAGGCTCTCACACTTAGATCGGACAGTTTGGTGTTAAATGTTTCTTTTTTAGAATCCCAGTAAATTACTAGCAATTTTGTGATAGACAGTAGCCAAACAGTCCTGTTAATTACTCAAATTGTGCATAATGATTAAATGTTGAGTAAATAACAACAGACACAGCTGGCTAAATGTAGCACCTCATTAGTTCGATACAAAAAAGTAATGAGTCGAAATGAGGTTTTCCGTCGGATGCTAAGCCTCTGAATCTATAACACGTTTTTGCACATCACGCCCTCCGTCATTTCTGTCCATGATTGAACTGAGAAAATATAATTTCCTTTCATAATTGCTCCAACGCATTGCTTATTTTTTCATTCTATTTGAGAATAAAAGCTCTGCAGTTTTGAATTTGTTCCCGTTAACTCATAATTAAGTATTTGCAAAGGCGTGTAGTGTTTTACCTACCTCGCTCCGTCCCACAAACGTAATTTTCACGTTAGCCAAGCAACTCATTAGAAGACGCGAGAAAAAAAAAATTCGCTCCCAAAAAATTCTTAAAATTACATGTCAAACAAAGAAGGAAATAATTTTTCGCATCTTTTTTGTTCGCAAAAAACTGCTTTTCCCCCCTCGGGAAAGGGTTATCGTGAAGAGCCGCTCATTGGTTGGTTATACTTTCGTCGCACAATTGGACATAATTTGCATGTTTAGATTTGGCTGCCTATTAAAAAGCAAAGCATCGTTTAATCCCTCTTTAAGTTGCTGATTCTGCCGTGAAGAGAGTTGTCCAACCAGGCACCACTCACTTTGCAATGGTTCGTTTGATACTCTTCGCGATTCTTGGCTTTATCCAAGTACCAGTCGCCAAAGGTTATGGTAAGCCTCAGCAGTCTAGTTGATATTTTTGAAGTGGTTTTTATCTGAACAAACCTTATATCGATAAGATAGGCTAATTATTCAATGATGTAACTGTAGTTAACTTAAAGGCTCAAGTTTTCCGTTTACAAGACTACGAATTTTTTATGTTCAGACGCTGAATCAACGATAACATCTTATGTGAGACATTTCCAAATCTGAAGCATCGAGATCCTGAATAAATCAAACTTCGCTTATCCTCCTTGAAAAGAGTGATTGGTTTTAAAACTCGAATAAAGAGAGCTCTCTGAAAAAACCTTGTAAGAAAATATGCCACTTGTCGAATTTTGGCGAGGAAATTACAAGGAAAGGGCAAACGTGCTTTCAGGTAAAGAAACATTTGAACGTTTCTAACTTTAGCACGCTTTAGAAATATTATTCGAACGTAAATTTGTCGAGTTGGCGATTTTTCGAGTCATAAAACTTTTGGTATTTCCAGGAACCATTTGAAATTCTCAACATCAGTGTGAAACAACTAAGCAATCATTAAGAGTTATAAATGAATTATTATGATCAAGAATGATCACCTTGTAATTTAAGATCGAAAGAAGTGGGATTATAATTAACTGCTCTTCGGAAAGCGTTCCTGTGTTTGCTTTTATTGATGTTGTTTTTATGGTTTATCAAATGTATTTAACGAGTTTTCAAAAAAAAAAAAAATAAAATAAAATTAGCGGTTGCACAAATATCATTTTTATAGGCAATCTCTACGACTATCCGCTTAGGCCAATTTTCAACCGCGAGTGTGGTTTACTTTGGCATTAACAGATCCTACAAATTACATGCAAATTCCATTCGCAGTACATGCTGGTCACCACGGGTTATAGTCTCGCTCTGTTTAGACAGGCCCTAAATTGCACCGGCTACATTTGTATTCAATAAAATGTTGAGACATTTCAAGACGCTTTAAAACTGTGAAGAAAAATCATCCGCACTCAATCGATGGAGCTTTGTGACCTTCAGATTTCTTTTAAACCTTTAATGTTCGGAAACAGACGATGATCAGTTTTTGATAGGAAGGAAAAACATAGAGCTAGACGAGCTATTATGGGAAGTTTTTGATTCATTACTATTGAAATAACCAACTCGAATTAAAGGGTGTCGTGATTATTTTATAGGAGATATTCCGATTATTTCACATTTCCTAAAGAAATAGCTCTCCCATTAAGTAGAATGAACTGTTTTTAATAAGTGAATAAGGGGGTAAGTTTCTAAAGAAACTGTGGTGCTGCGTCGGTGAGAGAGTAGAGCAGGTAATTTAGTGTTAACAACTGAGTTGAAAACGTAAATTGGCCACCGTAAAGGGTAAAAAGGCTGACGAAGGGCTAACGCTCGAAACGTCAGCTTTTTTAACCCTTTACGGTGGCCAATTTACGTTTTCAACTCAGTTGTTAACACTAAATTACCTGTTTTTAACAAAGTCAGTTTTAAATGAAAAAATTTTCAAAGAAAGCGATCTGCCAAAGTGTGAGACCACGGAGGCAAAAATTCTAGGATGATCTGTCACTATTTGAATCCTTAATATGCTTTCTAGGTAAGTTTCTTTTTAAGCGCGAAATTTTTCCCTGATCGAAAAGTTTAGAACGACAAAATGTTTATTTTTGCCTTTTTCTTTTCTTTCTTTTTTTTTTTTTTGTCAGTGTATCAACTTTTTGTGTCCACGGGTTTCTCTGGGATTGACGATGACAAGGTTTCAATCATTTTGGTGGGTGTAGGAGGTGCTCAGACATCGGTTCACCATCTGTCAGGACCGTTTGACCGTTACAGGCAAGTGTGGCAACATGTTAAATGAACGTACGACACACACGCGCACGTGGTGATGGGAAGATTCGGACAGCCTTTCTATGGGGAAATTCATAATGTCATCATTGACCACTTTTTTCGGGCTTATTAGTATCGTCGCACTGTTCAGTTAAACGCATGTTAGAAAGAAACAGTTTTTGGGAACGATCTTGGGATTGGAAGTAAAGTTTACATGAATGTCCATCAAAATACGGCAAAATTGCTGAATGGCAAAACTTAATCCAGCACCCTTGGAAGCTCAAAAATGAGAATTTTTTTCAGCTACTGATAAGAAAAATTCTGAGGGCCAATTCTCGCGCAAAATTCAATGTAATGTTTTAACATTTGATAAATCTAAACCACCCGGCGGTATCTATTATGTTTATATACAAAGAAGAAGGAAGAGTTTTGTCCACTCTATCTTAAAGGAAAGAGGATTCGGAAAACAGTTACCAGAGCCAGCCAAAATACGTTGAGAGGAAGAATTAAAATCCATTGGAAAAATTTTGGAGATCTGATCTTAAATGTTCACGTTCTGCTACTGTTGTATTATGCCAGTTACAAACTTGTTTGATCTCTATTCAACAGCGTAATGCGATTTACGATAACAGATCGAGATGTAGGAAAACTTTCCGCCATCAAAATACAACTGGTACAAACCGGAGTTTATCAAGACTATTGGTGGCTAAGCCAGGTGAGAGAAATTGAAACCAAGTTACATCCCGCTATCAACTTCATCAGCCCTCTTTTCTCCCTAAAATAAAAGAACAATGATTTCTTTGAGTGTAGAAAGGAGAGTATGTAGTGTATTCTACCTCCCCCCTGTCCCTGGTAGACATGTCTCTCCTCCTCTCTCTCCAGCCTTCCTCTGCCTATAGATCTAAAATGGCAACCAGACAATTTCCGAAAGAAATACTCTGCGCTTGCTCGCTAAGAATATGCCTGGTTTCACTTGTGACTACATCCATATCTTTTATTTATTTTCAGTTTCAGTTTCAGTTTTATTCGGAGAGATGGAAACAGGTCTCTGATCCGCACATAAAGAGGTGTTAATACTCCCGTTACAATGTACTTTCAATTTCTGTTTCTGCAGATTTATGTTATTACGTCTCGGCAACGTTACCAATTTTCTTACAACAAAGAAGTAAAATACCAATGGAATACCATTTCTTGTGAGTATTATGATTCATAACTATGTTATAAGTGATCAAATTATCAACAGGGAATCTTCACCTAGAGGGCTTAGTCCTACAATCGCTTACGCGGAAGTCCATGCCAGGAGTCTAGATTTCTCTAACGACTAGGTGTATTATTAGAGGGGGTAAGTTTCTAAAGGCACTGTGGTGCTGCGTCGGTGGGAGAGTAGAGCAGGTAATTTAGTGTTAACAACTGAGTTGAAAACGTAAATTGGCCATCGTAAAGGGTAAAAAAAACTGACGTTTCGAGCGTTAGCCCTTCGTCAGAGCGATCAGCCTAATATACTCTCTGATGCTCAACCAATATGCTATAGAGAGCTATATCCTAAGAAAATCTTCGATGGAAATTCAGAGAATCACTCAGGGAAAATAAAGTGTATTTGCCCAGAACACAACAGCTTTACTTTCTGAGAGGTTGGGTACTATCCGAGACCCTCCTTTCCTAAATCATTATGTAGCTTCATCTCCTCATGATCCCTTTGTTCATCCGTTGGTATGAATAATAATCATGATTGTGACATTGAGAATGAGTAGTGATAGTAACTGTTATGGTTGCGACGCTGAAAGCTGAAAGCGAGCCGCAAATTTTGCTGATATGAAGCACCGGTGTTTTTCTATCTTTTTCAGTGAACTGCAGAAAAGGTTTTAAGAAAGCACCCGATGGGAAATGTGTCGGTAAGTCCAGCTGACTGTAGGATGAAATTAAAAGAATAATCTCGAAATTGCAATTATGAAAAAATCTGAGGAACTAGAAACTGTTAAAAGCAGTAGTTTGTTTGTCAGTCATCCTCTCGCTTCTTTCCCTTAAGCGGCGCCCGAGCGAGAAAGTTTCCCCGTGCACCTTCAGGGGGTGGATTGGGGGGAAGAGTCGACTTACTAACTGTTCAAACTATCCATAGTGTTTTGCATTCCCCTTTTTTTTTCTTTTACCTCGTTTTTTCAAGACATCGACGAATGCAAGGATTCTGGTGGCTGTGCAGACAATGTTGCTTCGTGTCATAATAACGTTGGCTCATACACATGTACCTGTCCTCTGGGCTACAGGACAAACTACGAAAACCGCTGTGAAGGTAACTCTGAAGAATATTTTCTATAGTCCATCTTTATACACTGTCGGCGACAATCGATCCCTCATCCGTGCGTACCCCTGAAATCATGTAACCCCCCTCAAAATCCCCTAACCCTTCCCCCTAGGTGAAAAATAATGGCCTAGTCCCCTATCCTTTTTTGTGTGCTTGTAAAGAGAGTTTTATCTTTTTTTTCGAATGTTCCTGTTGCGATGTATCTCCTCATTCAGATTTAATTGAATATTTCTTTCAGATGTAGATGAATGTAGATCAAACAAAGGCGGCTGTGATGAGTATTGTATAAACACTGTTGGCTCATTTCACTGCGCATGTCACCGCAGCGGCTTTCAAGTCGTCGATGGTTATCGCTGTGCAGGTTGGTGCGCATGACATCAGGCAATGTCTCTGACATCAGTATCTATATTCTTCATACTCTTTTCTATGCATTTCTCTTGGCATAGACAAGGAGAATTTGTTTAACAATCAAGAGCTTCTTCAATTGGTTATCATTTTTATCCTCGTAACCGAAATGTTTGATTCAGGGGTAATATTGTAAGGCTAAATTAGGGGCTAGAAACTCTTAAGGATCTGAGGATTAATGGAGGAAAAAAACTCTAATTGTTCCTAGATGTGCAATCAATTTGATCGAAAATTTGTTTTTATTCAATAATCATTACCATCATAAAAAATCGATATCACTATCATTGTTGCCCTTTCATCGTTATAAGGTAGAAACATCTTTCCTGGGGAAAAATTTAAAATTATAGATTTCCGCTTTTAGTAGATTCGAGCTTTGTTTCTATAGGAAATGTTGTAAATGTCTGAAAATGTGAGAGGTGCTACAAAATTTAAAACTTTTCTTGTAATTGCATACATTGTTTTGTTTTAATTATTTGTTCTATCCCATGAACATTTTGTTATACACTTCAAATTCATCTTTGTACTTTGTATAAATCAGAACTGAAGATGACAGGAGAACTGTCGAAACATGTTTTTAAAAAATATCGAATATTTTCTTAAATTCGTCACTATCATTTACTTTTCCAGGTAAATGACTTTGGGAAATTTGAACTTTGTATCTAAGGAAACAGTTTTTCAAATATACTGATCTCCAAGTCATCAAATAAAGTTATCATTGTCGTCATCTCTCCTTAGATATCGACGAGTGTAAAGAGGGGAAGGACAATTGCGACAAGACGACAACTACTTGTAGAAACTACCCTGGTGGTTTTCAGTGTAAATGTAAACCAGGATACGAGTGGAAGGATTACTCATCTTGTAAACGTATGTGATTTTCTCCTGAAGACATCAGGAGAATATGAGGGGATAGGGAAGGAGCCTTCTTGTCCGTGATTCGACGATTTCACTTAAGCTATTTATAGATCTCTCTTGGACAAAATTCTGTTCTCGGAGGCATCCACACGTAAAAAATCGATCTGAGTGTCAAGACCTTAAACGCGAGTGATAACTTGGATAATGTATTGGGGAAACAGACATTCGTTTCTGTCTGAAATTCTGTCAATGTCGTACTTGCACTATTCTGTCTCTTAACTCGCTTTCGGAAACATGCATTTTCGAAGCATGATATCAGTATTCATTGCATTTGCAATAGTCATAAAATTGGTGAAATATTTTTCCCAGTGTGTTAGGAATTGTGCCTTTGTCTTTCCTGTTACCGTCCGTTTGCTGTTTAATATATTTCAATCGTCAGACTGTCGTTCTCCCCACTCTATCATTTTCCGAGTCCTTCAGCTCTCTTGTCATATCGTTATTTACCTACAGTGGACTCATTAGTTTTTAACCTCAAAAATTTTTATTTTAGTAGTTCCAGCCTTTCTGTAAATTGTCCCTCAGGTAAGACGTGCTCCCACTTCAGCGCAGACAGAGATTCTCGTAGTCAACTTCATCCTGCAAAATGCACACAAGAGGGACAAAATAAATACGAGGACACCTGCAAAGTTGTGTGCAATCATGGAAATGTTCTGAATAAGCCAGCGGCTGAGATTACAACTTGCGGCAAAGATGGGTTGTGGGTTCCTCATCCATCGTATTGCATAGGTAAGGGAGGTGAAGTTGCATTAACGCAAGAGATGATTTAGCATGCTTTGTCGCTAGGAATATGTGTCTACATTTCAATGCAAATAGTCTTTTCAAGGAAACTTGACTGGGGCTAATAATTGCCTCAAAGAGATATCCTTAAATATCTGTTTAGAGGTTTGTGTGAAAACGTACACTTACATACTGAAGAGGAAAATTTACATAATACAATCGATAAAGTTGGTGAAATATCTTGCTGAACTTTAACAGGAAGACCATGTCCATCATTAAAAGACATTCCAAATGGTTCTGTGCAGGCCAGCTGCAAAATATATCTTGATGGCTCCACTCGTTATGGAGGTCGATGCTTTTACAGGTGTAATTCCGGGTACGATCTGAAGGGAGTCAGCTACAGGGACTGTCAGGCGGATGGTAAATGGAGTGGAACTGAACCGATTTGTGAAAAACGGCATCCGAGTAAGTTATATCAATATCACTTTATTTCGGTTAGGGCTTTCTTGTTGTGTGGCCATTTTTTCGATTTAAATTGCTATTCCGAGCTTCCGAACGGTCTGGAAATTATCCCCGATTAGGACTAGATTCTTGTAGTTTCGCTGTGAAGCTGCTGTTCTAATACTTCTGCTTCTGTTGTATGAAGCGACATGGAGTGCATGCCACTGATTATCTGCAGCCCTTTACATTTCACTGTCAGTTTGCCAGTTTCCTAAGTAAAGAAGGACACCGTTGAAGAGAAGCACGTGTCCTACCCGGGAAAAAAAACACCGTGAAGTCTAAAAAACACTCTGATAATTGGGTCGTTGCGTCTCTCAAAATAAATGATTGTATTAATTATCACTGTGGCTCTTTTTCCCATAATCCCTTCTTCCAGCACCGTATATCACGTGTCCTTCTGACATTAATGTGATTCTAAAGCCGGGGATGAGCACAGCGGATGTCAGTGATCAGTGGAAAATCCCCACAGCTAACGTTAAGAACGTCACTGCTGTTGAACCTCCTGGTGTAAGCAGCAGCTACCGATTCCCGTTCGGCAGCACGACTGTCAGGTGGGCAGCGGTGAACGAAATCGGTCAAGCGAAATTTTGCACAGTGCTTGTGGGTGTGAAAGGTGCATATCGTTTTTGTTCTTCAGTAATTTCTTCATAGTATTCGTTGTTAAAATATACTTCCCCAAGGTGGTGTATACTTTAGATCACACATTCTTCCAAAAAAAGAAAGGTTTTGGTGGAAAGTACTGCATTAAGGTTGAGTTAGAATTTGCAGCGTTATTCCTATATAGGAAGGAAAACTGGAGATCCAGGCAAAAAATCCCCAAGGCAAAGGAGAGGACGAACTGAAAACGCAACGTTGCCAGCGTAGTTATGAACTTAATATTACGAAGTTTTTCGAACAGGAATATTTGAGCAAGAAACTAGCTACAAAGGTAAATAGATAAAGTTTTGCGCCATGCTTCTCTCCATGATCACAGCTTCTAAAACTGTCTCGTTTGTTTATATTCCCCTGCGTTTTCTTAAGACAATGAAAAACCCAAGGTTGTCTTCTGTCCAGAGAAGATCTACAAAGTGTCCTACAGCACCTCTCAAGTGTGGGTAAACATCTCAAGACCGGTCTTCACTGATAATGTTGGTATTGTCAGATACATTCCTCCTCTCATTGACGGCAAGTCTTTGTCAAGAACAAGTGGCTATCACATGACTTTCACTGCTGTTGACGCCAGTGGAAATTCAGCGGATTGTAAAATCATCCTGTATGTCGGAGGTAAGAATACAGGTTGTAAGACATAGGAGACAATCATTATAAGTGATTGAAACTGATGTTATACTAAGAGATTCCTCTTTTTACTTTTATTTTATTTGCCATTACTCACAAAATTACAAAAATTTACTGCAAATGGTAAACAGGCAAAGAAAAAAAAAACAGATCGATGGCGAGAAAACCTAAAATAACCATCAGTGCATGTAAGTAGCACGAGATGAATAACTTAGACAACAGATATTGTAAATAACGAGTTGACAATCTACATAATAGTCCGTGATGTTGAAAATAGATATTTTAAGCTTTTGTGTTGCGAAAGATAGAGTGTGTAATCTCGGAAGTAAGAGAATCAAGAAACTTTGGACCTTGATAGAAAAATAAAACCGCTGAACAGTTGTTCTACATCGTGGTCGACGAAATTAGTTTGGGTGCCTTGTGCTTTTTTTTCTTTCATGAATAGTTTTTAAGGGGGGATACATTTTTCGAGTAAGATTTTCTGAGAATACTGTTGCATGTGCCTTTTAAGTTGCTTGAACACTTTGCTGGAGACTGAGTTAAAGTCGCCATACACAACTTTTTACCCCATTGTTCTGGAATTACTGGTATTTTTCTGCCAGCCATGGTTGGTTTTTTTTTTCCTAAACAGATGACGTTATTCAACTCCAATGTAATAAATCGTTAGCGTATATTTTGGACAAAATTTTTATGGTGAATGTATCGTTATTTCTTCATTATAGTAGAAAGACAATAGAGAAAAGGACAGTGGTTTTTGTCTGAAAGTCTATTTTTCCCACGCAGGAGAACGATGCCAATTGCCCCCTGAAAGCGACCCCCCTAGTGGTTCAATGACGTGCCATTGGATACTGGGCGGGACCACCAGATATTGTATAAGAACGTGCCCTCAGGGCGAAAAGCCTTTTGGTTTCTATTCTTGGTGGTCTTGTGGAAAATCTGATGGAAAATGGAAAAGTTATCCTCAATCGTTACCAGTTCCACAGTGTGTTGGTAAGCAGTGTTAAGTTTATTTACCGAACAATAGTTAAGAACCTCGATTGAGGAGTATCCTAAAACCCAATTATATCGTTAATAGATAACACAAAGTGCCGATGACAACTCAGAATTTAAAAAGTTTATCAAGTGACCGAAATGCGGGGAAAAGAAGAGTGACCAATTCGTATTGGTTGCAGTTTTAATTTTGTCAAATAATCATAAATGAAGAATGAAACTCATAACCTTAAGTAAAAGAAACTTTTTTGCCTTGTTTGGTAACATTCCACAAACTTAGTCATCTAAACAAGCAATCTTTTTTGCCTCACTTTCTATTAGGTTACAAGGAGGTCAATACCAGTCTTCCATGTGACGTTGGTAGCATTCGGAATTCGTCGTTTGGCTCAGGCTGCTGTAAGTTGATTTATTTCGCGTGCTGTGAAGTTTTGAAGATGTTAATTTAGATAAGAAACATTTACACTCAGGTATTTACCTCAGTCTCTGGTTTTGGTCCACGCACAACCCACAACTCCTCGATTCGCTCTGATGATGGACTAATGCTCGAAACTTCAGCTTTAGAACCAGATCTTAGTATACTAATTACGTGGGACTTGAAATATTTTCTTAGGCTTCTCACTATTTCTTACATATTGTTACAGATGAATGCCCACCAGGGACGTATGACAAAAATGGCGCCTGTGAAGCATGCGCAGAAGGCACGTTTCAGGAAAAAACTGGGCAGACAGACTGTAAAGCATGTCCTTCAGGGACACAATCAGGAAAAGGAGCATACAAGTGTCGACGTGAGTGATAAAAATAACACGAACCTCTGCTATCTGCAAACCAGTCGGAGGTGGTGCTTTCATTTTGAATTTTCTTGAAATCACCATTTTGCAACGAGCTAATGAGAACCGACTCCGAAAGTGAAAACTTGCAAACGGCTTTAGCGTGGGAAAACGCGGGTGGGAAAACTACCTTTTGCTTTTATATATATATAATATATTTTATCGGTTGAGATGGTGCTGCAAGTTTTCTGAATCATTTCTGGCAAAAGTTTAACTTTTCTTTGAAACATATTAACGTTCTATAAAATTTTCAGTAAGTTTCTCCATCACACAAGATGAGCCGGCCTGAGCTAAAAAATAATAATAATAACAATAAAAGGTTCCTGACTTTTTGTGTCCTAAAAATTAATCCATCAGTTATTTGTCCACCTGGTCGATATTCCAAGGATGGACTCGGCCCATTCTGTAAATTTTGTTCCAATGGAACATACCAAGACAAACCACAGCGGACAAGTTGCTTGCCTTGTCCACAGGGAACCTACACCCTGCATATTGGAGCTACGTTTTGTGGAAGTAAGTTACAAGAATCACAAGTCACAATACAATTAAATCTTCCCACAACCTTAGTCTTCGTTGACAGGCGGGGTCAGGACAAAGGGATATCAGGGCATAGGGTGGGGTGAGTGAATGGGAGTGGGAAGGGGGGGCACAGGGTGGGGTGGGTAAATGGGGGTGGGAAGGGGGGGGGAAAGGGTGGGGTGAGTGAATGGGGGTTGGAAGGGGGGGGTTGTAAGTGCATCCTTTAAGAACCCACCATTTCTCCAAATGGTTATATAGTGATGAAAGAAATACGAATACGATGAAAAAAATTCCTGATAAAATATGCATTACTTATATTTCTGTCAGGTATAATTGAGAGATATCATCAATCACAATCTCTTTGGATAAAGGAAACGCTGTCTTTTTTTCTGCTTATTTCTTCATAAAAACTTTGCATCGGAATGAAAAAAATTGCTCCATGATATTTGTCTGAACAATTAACCCACAGGGTCTCCTAAAATCACAAAACTTGAGCCGGGAGACGTTGCTTCAGTCAGTGTGGGTGGGACTGTGGTGTTGAAATGTTTCTCAGATGGAGAACCCACACCTTCTGTTTATTGGAAGTACTCAGTTAATGGTAAAGGTAAGTTGCTGAGAAGTATTGAAATCCATCTATGAGCCTCCTTGACAAAAAAAAAGGAAAAAAAGAAACGGCATTTTTCTAACCTTTGAAAGTCAAATTTCTCACATAATTTTTCACACTGCCGTGACAAACATGAACAAAGGATGACGCGTTTTGCGCCAATCTGCATACGTAACGTCAAGTTCATAAATGATGTTATTGCGAAATACACTTTCCTTTCGTCTTATTCATCATAGCATTGTGTCTTTCATTTGCCGTATTTTTTTAAAGAAGACTCCTTATGAACATTTGCTGGTGTAGATGAATCCATAAGAAATGAAAGTTGACACGGAGACCTGTTTTCCTCAACATGTGTATTTGATAAAAATTTTCTTTGTTCACGAGTTTTGTTGGGATAGATGCTTCTTTAATATGAGCCTCTCGCCAATTCAGGTCACATAAAGGTTCCCTTCATTAGCAAAGCTAGACAATGGTGATAGATAATTCCTCATCCCCTACAACTAACTAATAGTGAAGATGGTAATTGCATACCGTAGGTTCCAAAACTCAAGCCCCAATCAAGGACAAGAACGGTAATCCCATAGGAACACAGCTGACCATCGGAAATGCAGACTCATCAGATAGCGGAAGCTACTCTTGCATGTCAGCTAACACACATGGTGAAGTGACTCGTGCTGCTCAACTCACTGTTGCAAAATCATCTGTTAGGAGAGAAACAACACGAAAGAAAGGTAAGGTTAAGCAAGCCTAACGGTTAATATGCATTAGAAACAGGATACTATCGCTTACCTCTATAAATTATTCAATTTTGGCAGCTGAATTTACAAGTTCACCCAAGCCCTATATCGCAGCTCCTTAAATGGTTAACGGTATAATACTTAACGTCTTTTTAATCAGCATTCTTATTATGTTAGTACAGTAGCGAAAGATACTCTTACACGTTAATTTCAAAGTATTCCTCCACTTCTGCTACTGTAAGAATGAAAAGCTCAAATTGAATAAGATTCAGTAACGCCGCAATGTTAAATTCATATTTCACCCTTTTTTTTAGTCATACAAATTTCAGTTGAATATTCTTTCTAAAAAATATTACCACTGATTTACTTTTAAATTAAACGCAATCTTTTCGTAAAAATTTTCTCTGACATTTTCAGATATGGCAAATGACGTCTTGTTTCCGAGGGCTGTAGGTAAGTGTAATAACACCATTGAAGTATGTGAATTTAGTTTTGTTCATCTCAGCAAGTTACTAAGCTAATGACATTAACTACGTTCTTCTTTTAAGCCATTTGATGAGGTGTAAGTATCGTTTCAAATGGAAATGGCTGAGAGTGTTTAGACTGCTGATAAAATAGGAAAAAAGTACAGTTGGCGTCAGCTAAAATATGGAAATGTTCAGGCTTTGTTCCACTACATTCTTTGAAGAATTTTTTGTGCGCCACTTTGGCAAAAAATGGTAAAACCACTGAAGATCAATGAACATAAAGCGTATTCGGCTGACTCGCTTCGAGCGGGAAGACAATTTTGATTTTAACCTGATTAGAGGTGTGAATCAACTTTTTTTCACCTCAATTACAGACCAGCAATGTCGGATGAGTTTCAACCGCCCTTGGACAATTTCGATTTACTGTAGGATTACATTAATCAATGTTGCAGGTTTTTCGTTGATATTTACCACTGTTTTGCACCCCTCCCCACCCCACCATCCTATTCACCACTGTTTTGCACCCCTCCCCACCCCACCATCCTATTCACCACTGTTTTGCACCCCTCCCCACCCCACCACCCTATTCGCCACTGTTTTACACCCCTCCACACCCCACCATCCTATTCACCACCGTTTTGCACCCCTCCCCACCCCACCATCCTATTCATCACTGTTTTGCACCCCTCCCCCCACCATCCTGTTCACCACTGTTTTGCACCCCTCCACACCCCACCACCCTATTCGCCACTGTTTTACACCCCTCCAACACCCCCACCATCCTTTTTCGACAGATCAGTGTCCCGCGGGTAAATTCAGTGCGGACGGGTCAGGTCCTCTGTGCCGAGTCTGCCCAAAAGATACTTACCAGGACCAACCTGGAGAGACCGCATGTAAAAACTGTGAGCATGGGACCAAGACTTTGCAATTGGCTGCGACTTCTGCAGAGGCATGTGGCGGTAAGAGACTAATTTACTTGAACCAATGTACTCGTGAAAAGACAGGTGCGTATAAATAAAATAAGCGCAAACGGTAATTTGGTATTCATCTCTTCAGTTTCCCCGGTGATCACCAGCTTGAACTCCAGTGTAGACACGAATAGTAGAGAAGCTGTGCTCGACTGTTATGCGCATGCCTCGCCAACCCCACTTGTCAGTTGGCATTTTCTGGAGGATGTTCCAAGTGAGTCGTACACAACGTTAATGTTGCTTTTGAATTTTTCCAATCAATTGATCTGCTATGTCATTGCTGCAAAGCATCCATTACACATGCGTTAGGTTTTTTTCCTTGAGAGTTTTTAATTTCAAAGAAACAATAGTTTGCAGATTATTATTTGCGTATATGGCATTGGGCTACGGTTCAACATGTTAAAACTTTTTGATACAAATTTGGTGAGGAAGTCTTCTTCCATTTCATCTTCTTTTTCCCTTTATCGTAAATAGTCTCCATAGTTTTACAAAGCTGTCACTATTACCATTTTTGTAAAGGCTTTCATCCTCATCGCCATTGATATTGATATCATTTCAAACAAGTTCATCATCACTTGCACGACAACTAGTTAATTTTTTTTCGTACTTTCCTTCTTCGTTCGAATCTTCGTTTATTCCTTGACTGTTCTCTTGTTCGAACTGAAATATATACAATGGCTACTCTTGTCTTTCCAGGTGACTTCCTTGGTATTCCCAAGCTCGTACAGCTGGTTAACAGTAAAGGACAACCAATTGGTACTCGCATGGTTATAAGAGTAGTCACAGAACACAACACAGGGCGGTACGAGTGTACCGCGGTCAACCAATTCGGCCAGGACAAGGAAACCCTTGACTTGAAAGTGTCGTGATCGTGATGTAAGTGTTTTTTATGACTTATAATATACATTGCGTGCGTCTGATTGGCTGAAAACGAGTGCATTTTTCATGTAACTCGAGTGTAAATTACAAATAGTGCGCGCGCTGCCAAAATTTCATCTCTCTTTTTTGACTTTCTGTGATGCGTTTTGCACGTAAGTTATTAATAAGTAAAAATATGATTTCTCGTGCATTTTGGTGTAAAATAAGCACTTCTATATTTTTCAAAGACTACAAATTCACTCGACCTATGGGTCGATTGTGTTGTTTTTGAAAAATTTACTCGTGTTTATTAACACCAGATCGGACTCGAAATCATGTTGTTACCTATACTAATATTTATCCGTTCACGAAAATATCCGTAATATCTAGCCAAATGCGAGCACTGAATTCAGCATTTCGGTTGAATTTTGTATCATTTTTCACTTACCGAATGCTTGAATTAGTGTTGTGAATGTTTACCAAAACTACACTACATCACCGTTCACATCAGTTGTTTCTGCTGAGGCCTTAATGGAGTCTTGATGGTTTTTTTTCTAGGTGATTTAACCAAACCCATTTAAAGACGGAAACCACAATAAACTTTTCTGTATACAAACGTTGGCGACTTCAACAAAGAAATGGCGGGGAGATTTTAAATGCGCGATGTGTAATGAAGGGTGTGATAAACGTCCATAAGAAAAAGAAATTTATTTATTTATTTTTTGAGGTTACAATAATCAAAGTTAATAAGACAAAATAGTACATTGAAAATTAACTATAGACCCGCTAAAGGTGACCGTTAAACAACTTCATGTTTTCGTTTTTCTCTAGGTCAGTCATGGTTACTGGAAATTCCAAGAGCAACAACAGCGGTACAGTGTCAACGCAGATTTATTGACTGAACACTCTTGTAACTCCTCTTACTTACAAAATGCAATAAAGGCCACAGTCAGCTTTACTTAAGAATGTACACCTTTGAAAGGAAACTAGCTAGGTTCAAATAACATTTCGTTTAACTTGCGTGAGCGCAAAATTACTTAACCCTAGTACAGGAAAAGAAAGAGATATGATCACACTGTTTTTGATGTTGAAAAGAAATGTTTCTATCCTGGTAATATATGATCTGATTGGCATGCTTATCTGGTAGTGGATCACTTGGAGAACATCCTAAGCCTACTATGTGGATCAAAAGGTACTTTGCTTTCTCCCGGCTCATTTCTTTTCTTTTCTTTTTACCTTCCCTTGCATCATTTACATTGTTCGAATTGCTGATCCTGGTTCCCCTTCACACGACAATTGCTCAGTCCGGCAAGTTCTCGAAGTTAGAAAGTATATTTTTGTCGTCAACAAAGAGTTTTTGCCAGAAGAAGCTCAATATCTTAAGACGAAAGAAGGCCACACTTACTTGTCGTAAGATGTCAGATGTCCTCATGACACCTAATTTTTCCCCTTTACCCAAATTGGGTATCTCTTCAACTTTAAGTAACATTGATAAAAACGACATAGCGAAACTGACCAGGCATTCTACAACAAAAACGAAAAGTGCCAACTTGCTTAGAACAAAAACAAATTTCGGGTAGTTATTTTTTAACATTTTCAACTGTGTGTAGTTTAAAAAGCCCATCAAAAGAATTTTCACTACATAACTCACAGAGAAAACGATCATTATCAGCATTTGCAAGGACGACTCAGAGGAAAATGATAATGAGACAAATCTAGAGAGGAGAATTATAATAAGGACGATCAAGGTCCAAAACGAGGGAAGAAATTTCAGTCTATGCAAGATTGCCTTGTAACCAGGGAACGCTGGAACTTTCTGTAGGGCAGCAATAAGTATAGCACCATGGAGGCATTGCGTAAAAAAACTGTAATGCTTCAATACTGTTCGACGCGCGGGCAATATTTGACGGAATCTCTCCTCCCTAGGTAAAATTGAAATCATACGTGGGTTGTATTGAAATGTAGGTAAAGACATATCAATATCAAGAGATTGATGAAATCGACTTTATTCAAATTATTTATTTTAACGCTGTTCAAAAATACCCTTGTCATCGATGAATAGCTTCTTCCAAAAGAAACTCATTAATTTGAACCGAAAAATGGTAACGCCAAAGTATTCTAACAAATCATTCACCACATGAAAATCCGACGAGTTTGCTGAACTCATCGCTGCAGGAAAACTTTGAGCGTTGAAAGTTATTGCAATGAGCGAGGTGGCGAAATGGATGAAATTTACGAGGGAAATCACAAAGACCGTCAATTTCGATAATAAGAACACGTAGGGGGGATATCGGTGCTTTAAAGTACCTAGCTGTGTATAATTAAGCATAGCTGCAGCTAAAACTGTCAGCGCATATTTTAGAGCAAACCCGATTAGAATCGACATGGTAAGGAAAGTTTTGGGAGATGTTACTAATAACATAACATATCTGGACAGCGCAATCACGAGAAGAAGAACTAATGTAATAAATGAGGGAACACATATCAACCGATTGAAGATTGCCTTGAGGCCGAGGAATCCTGGTATTCGTGGTAATAAGACGATGACAACGACGATAAGAATGGTTTGAGTAGCGAGCCAAAAGACTTCAAGTTCTTCTGAATACAGGAAAGCTGCATTTCTTTCACAAAGGAACGTTGAGGACTTGTCTCTGAAACACTTAACGCAACGAATAAAGTATAAACAAATCCCGATTACTTGCCAACATAGCAACAGACTGTAGCATACTGACAGGATTTTGTCCCAAGGCAGCCTTATCTTAATCTTCGCCTCTCCAGACCTCGGTTCGGGATATGTGCACACTTTCAACAGTGGCTGGGTATCCTCCTCAGGCATCGTCGTGGCCACAAGCACTTTAAAATTACCTTCATACGGAAATAAGATATTTTTTTAGTATACTATAATTTAGTATTTCAAAATTTGAAAACTCCGTGACAACTGAGGCGAAAGCTAAAGAGAATTTCCTTCTAAAGTACCGATTCATAATTTCTTTACTGCATTGAACTCAACTGTTCCGTGGATAATTATGTTTAGGGACAGGAAGTTGGATCCAAACACTTTTGATATTTTTCAAACATGAAATATCGCTATTAGCCTTGGGTATGCTTAAGTTTTGCATATTAGAATATCAAGTATGACGTCAAACGAAACGAGCGGGTGGAATCCAGTGATTTTACTTTCCACAGTTTCCAAAAATTTAACACAGACTCCAAACTCACAAAAGTTGAGTGTTTTTCAATGGATATGTGCGACTTCTCTACTCATATAAAGGACGCTATGAAGTTGAAGATCGTAATATCTTTTGAACAAATAGACATGTAGGTCATTTGCGAATAACTGATCAGTTCAGACACTTTTAAAGCCATCTGCTGAACCAGACGTTTCGTCACAGTTTGCCACGGTTTCAGTACTTTTAAACCCTACCTTCAAGCAATAAGTAAACTCCAACATCCTCCTATAAAAATTAGATCTTAAGTCACGGTAAAAATACATAAACATTACGGTACTGCGGTTCGTTGGGGATTGAAATAGAAAGCAGCTGGCAAGTTCTTAGTCCCAATTCTTTTCCCATACCATCGAGAGGAAATTCAATTTACTTCTTATAATAATCTTGTTTACCTTTCTTCAAAAGCTTCCGTGGTCAGGTAAGCCAAAAACGGCGAAACGTCCTCGAAATGCGCGTAATAAAACGCAATGCCCTCTTCTCAGCTGATATACTGAGTCGCTGATCCGCTTGATGAACAGAACCGTATGACATAATATCTATTTTGCTACGCATAGGTTCAGACCACGTTGCGAAACCGAAACCGACTTCGCGCAGATAAAGAGGCGAGATAGGCAGTCTGGGAACTAGACTTCCGCATACTTTTTCTCCGATGGCTTGTTATGTCAGGTCAGGTTGAAGCGAGCTAGTCTATCTTGTAAGCTAAAGAGCATGAAGAAGATAAAACACAACATCCCGAATTTGACGTTCACTTTTAATGAAGCAGGATATTGCTGTACCATTAGCTAACTATTGTATGCTGGACGAAAATCATTGCAGCGGCTCATATCTCTACAGTCGACTTTAAATGTTTCTGTTACTCTAAAGGTCCCGACGATGAAAACATGTGGGAATGATTTTTCTATCTTAGACTACAGTTATGAAAATTTATACCCCTTCTTAAGGATAGCTTAAAACACCTCCGATCGTTTGATAAATTGCTTACTCTCAGAAATAAGTATAGACATTACCCATCCGAGTGCGGTCACTTCTTCCCTGTTGACGGAGATTTTAAGTTATGACTGGTGTCAACCAAGCCCTTCCTAACGCTGTTTACCTTTTCAGCAGTGCCCACTCCAAAGGAGTTAATCTTAAGTTAATCAGTACAACTTTCGGTGACAACCTAACTATGTCAAAGACTTGTCTAAGCTAAAAAAAACTCTGTTTTAAGGTTTGATTGGTTGAATAAAAATATTTCTAACCTAGTACTTTTAGACTCTAAACTTTCCAAGACCTGGTTTATAAAAAAAATGGATAGGAAAACAAGGTTGTGAAATAAAACTCATATTCCTCCGATAAATAAACCATTTAATGGTTCTGGGGAATTCAAAAAGTCTATCCATCATCACAGTAAACGAATTCCATTATCCGGTACTAGTCCTTTACACATCCTCTTTCTTCTCGGTGGTGGCTGTCAGAGGAAGACTAGACTCTAACTCAGATCCCAAGGTCTGGTCAACGTCTGCTGGAGCAGGTTCCGGGACTGGGGCTGGAACTCCTTGAGTCCTCATGTAGCTCTTCGCTACGTCCTAATCAAGGCCGCAAAGGAGAAAGGAGAAGCATCACGCTATAGTTTAGAAAAGGGCCAGTTTACCTGCCTACCTATCTGTTTGTTTGTCTGTCTGTCTATATTTATCTTTGCCTGTCCTGCTTTCAGGCAGCAGTAAAGGACTGTGACTCGTGCCAGAATATGCTATTGCTAAGACTTAATTCTGACTGTGTGCCGTTAAACACTGACAAACCTTACCTGTATAAAGTTTGGAGCGGGACTCTCCAGGCCATGAGCCGCACTCAGCGACAGGTTCTCTGCAGGTCTGATGTAGTGTTGCAGAATGAAGAAATAGAACAGGAGTGTGATGACAGGTAGCGGAAGGATTAAGACTGATGCAGCGTATGACTGCTTTAAGCTTACCACTCCAAACATCAGAAGCTGAAACACCACTGTTGCTACAATCATCCTATAGAAAATGAAAGGAAATAGGAATGTTCAGGCTTTGTTTCACTACATTCTTTGAAGAATTTTTTGTGCGCCACTTTGGCAAAAAATGGTAAAACCACTGAAGATCAATGAACATAAAGCGTATTCGGCTGACTCGCTTCGAGCGGGAAGACAATTTTGATTTTAACATGATTAGAGGTGTGAATCAACTCCTTTTCACCTCAATTACAGACCAGCAATGTCGGATGAGTTTCAACCGCCCTTGGACAATTTCGATTTACTGTAGGATTACATTAATCAATGTTGAAGGTTTTTCGTTGATATTCACCACTGTTTTGCACCCCTCCACCCTCCTCCACCACCCAATTCACCACTGTTTTGCACCCCTCCCCACCCCACCATCCTATTCACAACTGTTTTGCACCCCTCCCCACCCCACCATCCTATTCACCTCTGTCCTGCACCCCTCCCCACCCCACCATCCTATTCACCACTGTTTTGCACTTCTCCCCACCTCACCATCCTATTCACCACTGTTTTGCACCCCTCCCCACCCCACCATCCTATTCACCACTGTTTTGCACCTCTCCCCACCCCACCACCCTATTCGCCACTGTTTTGTACCTCTCCAACACCCCCACCATTCTTTTTCGACAGATCAGTGTCTCGCGGGTAAATTCAGTGCGGACGGGTCAGGTCCTCTGTGCCGAGTCTGCCCAAAAGATACTTACCAGGACCAACCTGGAGAGACCGCGTGTAAAAACTGTGAGCATGGGACCAAGACTTTGCAATTGGCTGCGACTTCTGCAGAGGCATGTGGCGGTAAGAGACTAATTCACTTGGACCAATGTACTCGTGAATAGACAGGTGCTTATAAATAAAATAAGCGCGAACGGTAATTTGGTATTCATCTTTTCAGTTTCCCCGGTGATCACCAGCTTGAACTCCAGTGTAGACACGAATAGTAGAGAAGCTGTGCTCGACTGTTATGCGCATGCCTCGCCAACCCCACTTGTCAGTTGGCATTTTCTGGAGGATGTTCCAAGTGAGTCGTACACAACGTTAATGTTGCTTTTGAATTTTTCCAATCAATTGATCTGCTATGTCATTGCTGCAAAGCATCCATTACACATGCGTTAGGTTTTTTTCCTTGAGAGTTTTTAATTTCAAAGAAACAATAGTTTGCAGATTATTATTTGCGTATATGGCATTAGGCTATGGTTCAACACGTTAAAACTTTTTGATATGAATTTGGTGAGGAAGTCTTCTTCCATTTCATCTTCTTTTTCCCTTTATCGTAAATAGTCTCCATAATTTTACAAAGCTGTCACTATTACCATTTTTGTAAAGGCTTTCATCCTCATCGCCATTGATATTGATATCATTTCAAACAAGTTCATCATCACTTGCACGACAACTAGTTAATTTTTTTCGTACTTTCCTTCTTCGTTCGAATCTTCGTTTATTCCTTGACTGTTCTCTTGTTCGAACTGAAATATATACAATGGCTACTCTTGTCTTTCCAGGTGACTTCCTTGGTATTCCCAAGCTCGTACAGCTGGTTAACAGTAAAGGACAACCAATTGGTACTCGCATGGTTATAAGAGTAGTCACAGAACACAACACAGGGCGGTACGAGTGTACCGCGGTCAACCAATTCGGCCAGGACAAGGAAACCCTTGACTTGAAAGTGTCGTGATCGTGATGTAAGTGTTTTTATGACTTATAATATACATTGCGTGCGTCTGATTGGCTGAAAACGAGTGCATTTTTCATGTAACTCGAGTGTAAATTACAAATAGTGCGCGCGCTGCCAAAATTTCATCTCTCTTTTTTGACTTTCTGTGATGCGTTTTGCACGTAAGTTATTAATAAGTAAAAATATGATTTCTCGTGCATTTTGGTGTAAAATAAGCACTTCTATATTTTTCAAAGACTACAAATTTCACTCGACCTATGGGTCGATTGTGTTGTTTTTGAAAAATTTACTCGTGTTTATTAACACCAGATCGGACTCGAAATCATGTTGTTACCTATACTAATATTTATCCGTTCACGAAAATATCCGTAATATCTAGCCAAATGCGAGCACTGAATTCAGCATTTCGGTTGAATTTTGTATCATTTTTCACTTACCGAATGCTTGAATTAGTGTTGTGAATGTTTACCAAAACTACACTACATCACCGTTCACATCAGTTGTTTCTGCTGAGGCCTTAATGGAGTCTTGATGGTTTTTTTTCTAGGTGATTTAACCAAACCCATTTAAAGACGGAAACCACAATAAACTTTTCTGTATACAAACGTTGGCGACTTCAACAAAGAAATGGCGGGGAGATTTTAAATGCGCGATCTGTAATGAAGGGTGTGATAAACGTCCATAAGAAAAAAAAATTTATTTATTTATTTATTTAGGTTACAATAATCAAAGTTAATAAGACAAAATAGTACATTGAAAATTAACTATAGACCCGCTAAAGGTGACCGTTAAACAACTTCATGTTTTCGTTTTTCTCTAGGTCAGTCATGGTTACTGGAAATTCCAAGAGCAACAACAGCGGTACAGTGTCAATGCAGCTTTATTGACTGAACACTCTTGTAACTCCTCTTACTTACAAAATGCAATAAAGGCATGCATTCTAGAGCCATAGTCAGCTTTACTTAAGAATGTACACCTTTGAAAGGAAACTAGCTAGGTTCAAATAACATTTCGTTTTTAAACTTGCGTGAGCGCAAAATTACTTAACTCTAGTACAGGAAAAGAAAGAGGCATGACTACACTGTTTTTTGAATTGGAAAAAAATTTATCTCCATCCTGGCAATTTATGATCTGATTTGCATGCTTATCTGGTGGTGGATCACTTGGAGAACATCTTAAGCCTACGACGCGGATGAAAGGTACTTTGCTTTCTCCTCTTATTTCTTTTCCCTTCTTTTTTTTTACCTTCCCCTGTATCATTTACATTGTTCAAGTTGCTGATCGTGGCTCCCCTTCATAGGAGAAATGCTTGGTGTGGCAAGTTCTCGAAGTTAGAAAGTATATTTTTGTCGTCAACAAAGAGTTTATTCCAGAAAAAGCTCAATATCCTAAGACGAAAGAAGGCCACACTTATTTGCCGTAAGATGTCAGATGTCCTCATAACACCTGACAATTCTTCTCTTTTACCCATCTGAATCTCTTCAACTTTAAGTAACATTGCTATAAAAGACATAACGAAACTGACCACACATTCTACAACAAAAACGAAAAGTGCTAACTTGCTTAGAACATAAAAAACACGTTTCGGGTGGTGGTATTTTAACATTTTCAACTGTGTGTAGTTCAAAAAGCCTATTAAAAGAATTTTCACTACATAGCTCACAGAGAAAACGAATAATATCAGCATTTGCAAGGACGACTCAGAGGAAAGTGATAATGTTACAAACCTAGAGAGAAGAACGACAGCAAGGACAATCAAGGTCCAAAACGAAGGAAGAAACTTCAGTCTATGCAAGATTTCCTTGTAACCAAGGAACTCTGGGACTTTCTGTAGAGCAGCAATAAGTATAACACCATGAAGGCATTGCGTAGTCAACCAAGTAAGTTGCAGCACTCCTGAGTGGCGGAAGGGTGCGTCCTTGTCACACTTGAAAGTAAGAATGTGCATTTTATAGCATGTCACGCAACGCACTGCGAAAAGACCAACTCCGGCGATCTGCCACCACAGCAATAAAAAGTAACATACTTTTAAAAGTTTGACTCCGTGTTTCTTTCCTCTTTCTATTCTTCGTTTTAGGTGTCGTGCAAGTACTTCCAAAAATGATGGCATGGCGACGAAAGTAGCAATGATGTCTCACTCCATTATAACTTCTTGTGTTTATCAAGCTGAATCGTTGGCTGCAAACTAGGACAACAAAATAGTTTTACGAATGTTAGTTAAAAAAGGTAACGAAATTACTACCACGAATAGATAAACCCCGCCATCATCTTCCTTGAAGCAAAAATCAGAATGGTTCTCTAGTTCTAACAATGGCTTCGAAACGTCTACAAATTAGAAACGAAATAAACACAAGAGAGACATGGTTTGATGCTACTCTGGTTTACAAAGTTTAATGAATGTAACCGAAGAAGTTACAATTCATAGACCCAACGTTTCGACACTCCTGTCTAGTGCCTTCATCAGGGGTGATGTAAACGCTGCAACAAGAGGTCCTTATATATGATCACTAATTAGCGGCCTTTTTTCTGCGAATTTGCGGATTTCATAAGAGATAAAACTCTTAACGCTTCTGAAGAATTAATATCTTTCGACGTTGTTTCTCTCTTCACTAAAATCCCAGTTGATCTTGCCGTTAAGGTTGCGGAGGAGAGACACAGAGAAGATGCTTCCCTAGGACAAAGAACTTCTTTGCCTGTGGAGGATATTATTCATCCACTGTCTTTTTGCCTCAAAACCACGCAATTCGCATATAACGGCACCTACTATCAACAAGTTTTTGCTGTCACTGCTAACATGGTAATATGTTTCTAATGTCCAAGAGGCAAATGGCTATACAGAAACCTTTCTCCGTAACTGCCAAACACCAGTTACAACTGGTAACGCTCTTGATGAAAGGGAACCAGCGACTGTTTTTGCTGTTATTCCTTACATTCAGGGTGTTACGGAACCCATCAAGAGAATTTTGAATAACCACAACGTTAAAGTTGCTCAAAAACCTTTTCAGACTTTGGGGCATATTTTCGCCAAACCTAAGGATCCCGTCACGAAAGAACAACGAACCGACGCCATTTATTCTATTCCTTGCAATGATTGTGACATCGAATACTTCGGACAGACCAAACGACAGTTTGGTACAAGTTTGAAAAAGCATCAAAAAGCGGTTTTCTTTTGCAAAAATGAAAATTCAGCTTTATCGGAGCACACATGCCTAACTAACCATACAATTGGTTGGGATAATTCTAAAATTATCACTACTAATCGGCGTTACCACCAGCGCCTTTGTTTGGAGGCTTGGCATGTTAACTCCGCCCACGCTCCTTTGA